GAAACATACAATAGGAGGAAGAGAAACTAAAAGAAGGAATAATATATAATGTTTCAAAGATTATGGCTTTTAAAAAATGTTTCTTAGCTGAAAAATCATAACCTATGTGCAGTCTGTACCACCTACATTGTAGCATAAGATCCTTCCATCAGTGTTTAAAGTTTACTGGTTGAAATGACAAATTAAGGTATGAAACAGCATTTTCCTCCAGACTGCTGCTTGGAGAAAATTTTATTGCATTGTTATAAGTAGTTTGCTGAGTTTAATAGTTTCTCCTTATGCTAGTTCAAATGCTATATTTCTCTTCATGCTGCTACCAGACCTGGAACAGCAGACATATTAAATGATTGAAATGAATTTTAAGTATCAGATTTCCATGGCTAAGCCAAAGGGGTAAGATCACACACACACACACACACACACACACACACACACACACAAAGTTTAAGGTAGAAAGCAAATATAATAGAGGAAATGATAAAGATTTACATAGGATACAGATTAATAAAAAATAAAATACACAACTGAGAACATACTGATTTGTCTATGAAACATATCTCATATTGTGCTTTTCTTTTTACTGTCTTTCATTACAAGAAGTTCTGTGGATAAAGGTACATTTCTTAGTTGCTTTAAAATGGGGGCATCTTTACACTTAATCCAGAAAATCTCTTTTTTCAAAGTTAGTTGATCAAAATTTAAAACAATCACCTTTTCATCTTTATTTATCAGGAAATTTCATGTAATCTCAGAAAGGGTTGATCCACCACAAAATATCCTGTGTCAATTAAATCTGTTAACTAGCCACAGTGTGTCTGGGTTTGTCCTTCATTTGGAGGATATTGGTACCACCACTCAGCTGGAAGGTTTATGAACATTCATTATCTGCTATCATGCAAAGTTGGCCAAGTTGCTTCAAAACACTTTTAGTGTCTGTTCAGACTAACTCCACTCACCTTAAACTTAGGTAATAACAGAACAACAGGCTACAGATAGCATGGTGGAAGACAAACTCTTAAACAGTCACAACTGTGTTTCTTACTAGCATTATCAAATTTGTTCATCTTCTACAATACATAGTAATATTTAAGGCAGAAATTCCTAAGCAGAGCATAAATTAATATTTATATCATTGTCTGCAGCATTTTATAAACTACAGCCTTCTCAGTCTATATTCAGCATAATTTCATACTGGTCCCTTACACAAATGCAATCCTTCTATAATATGCATTTCTCAAACATTTAATTCTTATTCAAAATACCCTATAAAAGATAGTTATCACACTCTATTTCATTTTTATTGTCTACAATTGCTTTTTCCTTAATTTCAGATTTACTTGCTCAATGTATTTTCAGTCCTAGGGAGATGCTCTGATTATCATAACAGGCCACTAAAAATAATAATGTCACTGGAAATAGTGACATTTTGAATAAAATAATGTAATTCGTAATCCTATGTGTATGATGCTTAAACCTCAGCTTTGAAATCATGTTATATTCGTATTGTGTGTCATTTGGGTCAGGTGGACTTAATGTAACAGTTCACCTATTTGCAGATGTTTGTGAGGTTTAAGAGTGATTATTTAGAGCTTTTTCCGGCACGCAGAAATAAATAGATAAGTCAGTTATGACATTCTGAATGATGATAAAAAGCTAATCATACCTATGCCCAACTGCCTGAAGACCTGACTACAGTCAAGCATCATGTAAAGCCTGTGAATTTTCTCATCCTCATTTGTGAAGTATGACAACTGACCAAAGTAGAAATAAGCTGGAAAGGAAAGAATATATTTATAATGTTTTTCCAATTTAATGGGTACTGATCTTCTGGAATGTGTTTCTATTTCATTCTAAATAATTGAAACGTCGTTACGGCTTGAAATAAGACTCTCAGAGAAAAATAGTCATTTACAGTTTGGGAGGACAGTCACTGGTGAGAATGGCTTACGGAAAAGAGTTACCTAAAGCTAATCTTGAGTCACTGTTGTAGACTGAAGCAGACAAAGTATATGAAATAAGGAAAACTAATTCTTTTTCTATTAGTCTGAATATTGCCTACATTACTGTTAACTTCTGTGCTAGGACTCCTTGTCAGGTATTCTGCATGGCCGTTTTAATGTCAGTGTAGAAGTCTTCACTTATTTGTGGAAAAGAGATAAACCTGTCAAAAAAACCCGCAAAACCCCACAAACAAACAAAAAAAACAAACCTGTAAGTAACAACATATGTTATGGGAGGTATTGTTTTGCATCTCAGGAATAGACAAGAGCAGCTCCAGAATCTACAGTATTTAACAACTCACAGGTGACAACTTGCCCAAATGTAGAACAGAACTGAGAGGCTTTTTCGTTGATGATGCTTTTTGCTATTTTCAAAGGCAAAGCAAAAATCAGAGACTGACAACATTTTGTAGGGAAGAGAAAGGAAGGAGAAACAGAAAGAGAAGGGTGTAACATCAGGGATTCAGATAACAGTTTTACCATGGCAACTACTGTACCACAGAAAAGGTTGATTAACGTCAAGCTGGAGATTAGGATGGAATAACAGTGGTGTTACTAACTCTCTTCTTCCCTCCCTCCAAGGAAGTATAAATGCAGCCAGTTGTCATGGGTAGATATGCTTTTCCTCAGGAAAGATGAAGATGGCCAAGAGAGATACAGAACTTTTTATTATTCGTCCCCTATCAAAATACAGAGAACCAGAAAGCATTTTCAGTCTTTGCCCCTGTGATGGTATTTGGGTCACTCAATTTGCTCTCTGTTGGATCTGTTAATGGAAGTCCTGCTCTGTCCTATTTCTGTGAGCTATAAACTTTGACAACTTTCTGAAAGCTTGTATAGTAAAGGGTAGGTTTTAGATGAACTCATCTTAAAGGCTTATCTTGTCCTGGAAAGTTCCAGAGTTTCATCTAAGCTTTTTTTCAAGACAGGAATAACCTTCAGATAAGAATGTATCTTGGCTCTTTTGAAGAGTTTTCTTGAAAGAATTATGTCATCTTTCACCCTTACTGCAGGCTTTCTGTTGGGTGTTGGATTTATTTATGGTGATGACCGTTTAAACACCTGTTTTCTGCTTTTAAGGGTTTTAAATATTGATGCAAAGCTAAAACTATGTAATAGCAGATGAAAAACGTATTTTAGCGTGTGTACTATGAACACAACTTAATGAAAATATCTTTGATGCTGATAAATGCAAATACAGATGACATGTCCTGATAGTTCGTTTGTTTGATTAGACAATTTATTATAGCAGCAGCAGGGACACATATCACTCTTACGAGTGTTCTAGTTGTAGTGAAAGGTACAATAGTGCCTTAATCAGCATCTGTAACTGTAGCATAGGTGTGGCTAGTAGAGCAGCCAGTAGCCACTAGCGCAAAGCATTTCTGCACATAGGAATCTGCACATGGGAATCTGGACTTTAAGTATATTTAAAAGTGACTCTGTTGTATTTGTGATCATTGTGAAAAATTATACTAGCATTTTAGGTATGTATGCATGGTTGTGTTCCTGATCTTGCCTCTGATGATGGCTTTTTAATGATCACAGTTCTGACAACTCTGAATCAAGGTTGCTGATATGGGCCTTGCTGATAAATAAAGGGGAGTTTTTTCTAGGTAGCTTTACATTTTCAAAGTGCAACATACAAAGTACTACATATTAAAGCATTAAATACCACTTTTCTCACACTTACAGGAAAAAAAAAACAAAAACAAGAACACAACTACTAAATTACAGTAGTTAAACTGGAAAAAAAAACAAAACCAAACCCAAAACAAAACAGTGTGGAGAACAAATATTTTAGAATGCAGAAGTTTCTGTTGGATGCTGGCAAGAAGTCTGGCATATGTCAGATGTACGGCAGCAGCAGTCTGCTTATTACGAATGTTTTCATTTCTGACCCTATACAATCTCTTCTTCTTCTAAGCTCTTGCTTTGCTGAAGTGCATCTGACCTATCTCTTCCCCTATGTGCAGAAACTAATTCTCTATAGAAAGTCACCAGCTATACTAATACATGGAACAAAACATAAATGATAACATACGGTGTTCCCAGTGGGCCTGTGGGTAAAAACAAAACAAACAAACAAAAAAAAAAGACAAATTAAAAAAAAAAAAGAAAAAAAAAAACCAAAACCATGAACAACTGATAGTTTTCCAGTTCTAGAAATCAATAGCAGCAACTACTAGAAATCAATAGCAACAACAACAAGAATAGCAAAATCTAGAAATCAATAGCTACCACAACTAAAGGAACTATAGAGCATAAGGATTGTGCCCAAAGTTATAGTTTTACTGAAATTATATAATTTTATACGCAAAGGCTCACTCTGCTCTGCCACTGTAGATGTAAAAAGAAGTGAAGACACAGTTATAAAAATAAACTTCTATTCTGAAATCATATCCAAGCTGTTCAATTTGTCGTAAGCTACCAAAACAGGTTCACTGTTGCCAACCTATGCTTAGGCTTATGTATAACATCAAATAGTTGGGGACTGATGCTCAGGGAAAGAGACTCTGGAAGTGGACTGGAATTCTAATTCAGCCTCTTGCTTTGTCATTGATTGCTTCATGGGGATAGGTAGGGTAGGTGAAGGCAAAAGTGTGTTTGCATTCAGCTCTGAGAACAAGCTCTGGCCACACTTGTCCAAGGTTCCTCAGCCAGGGATGACTTACAAGGGCTCAAAACTAAAATGAACTATCTTCAAACTGTGTTGTCTTCTCCAGATAGTTTAGGAATTCAAGTGAAAGGATACCCTGTCAAAAATTTTCTATTGTTATTTCCAAAGAAGCAACGTGCCCTTCCCCAGATTCTAAAAGGTTTTAAGAATAAAAAGAATAAAAATGCTATTTAAATTAATAAATTCTTTCTGTCTTTTATTTTATCCCAACCCTGACTGCTGTGTTATGGCATACTGAAATTCTTTCTAGGTTTCAGATTTATATAAATACAGCAGCAATGATGGAAAACATTTTGTTTTGTTTTAATAGCTATTTCACTCAACAGGACTAACAATGCTGTGGACACCTACTGTGACCAAAAAACCTTAATTGAAATGGGGAATATTCTTGAAGTCTGAAAAAATGGATTCTGTGATGCAGGTGGGAAAATTTTCACCAATATGTTAGCAAGATATTCCTATGCTTCTCATGGCATGTATATTTGAAATGATCATAATCAGTCATGCTGAAACTATTGTCAGTCAACTCTAGGTGGTTAATTATTATGGATATACTTCAGAGTGAAATTATATGGATTTAAGTACTAGTACCTGACATATGTTTATATATTTTAAGGAATAGTAGTAGTTTGCCAATAAATTATTTATTGATATCCTATGGCAATCCCCAAATGATAACTTAATTAAGCTTAATTTATCTCATAAACCACCAAATTTTTTGTCATCAAAGAGACTCAAGGACTGAAAATATTGCTTAATATAGTTTCTGGGATTTTACAGAATTGTTCCTTTTTTTTTTTCCTTTTAAGAGTTCTTAAGATGTTTAAAGAATCATTTAAGGTGCGTGATGCTACCATAAGGAAATAAAGTTGAGGAATGCCTTTTTCCCAGGTATTCCCAAGTGTTCATTTTAATGCTGCTTTTTTATATAACCTCTTGCAGCTTGCTTTGAAGTCTTTCCTGCTCAGAAATCTCTCAACTGCCAAAGGTCTATTAAAGAAATGTAGTAGATACCTAGAAATCTGCCAGAAATCCAGAAATCAGACAGAATGTATGTGCAATAAACTTGAAAATATATTTAGCATCATGACTGAAAAAATGTGCAGAAATTTTGAGGGGAAAATGATTTTTTAAATATTTAGGTATGTCCTCTAAAAATATAGTAGAAAATCAGAAAGGGATGTAAAAAAGTACATAAATGGCTATCTTATTACTGTGTTGTATCTATGTTCTAGAATAGAGTGTGTGTTGCAAACTGCTTTTCCATTGTGCCTGTTAGTTAAACAAGGTAAGAGGACCTGGGAAATTTGATGCAGAATAGCTTTTTATTTTTCGTGGGTAGTGCAATTACTTTTTCTTCTAAAACCTACTGATTAATATGACCTACTCTACTGTCTTTGTGTTGATCATTATGATATATAGTGTTTTAATTGCCAGCTGTGGGATATATGAGCTCACAAAACTACATGAAATACATGAAGTTTCTTTTTCTGACCTCCTCAATGAAGAAAGAGTAACAGTCTGAAAACAGGACCTGAACATATTATATAGTATGAAAATAACATATTTTTAGTATTTATCTATAATCTATTTTCAATGTCATATTTTTATATCAGTGTAAATATTAGGAAGGTTAAAATTGTTACTGCTATTCTTGATTCTACTAATACATAATTTTCTAAGCAAATGAAAGGAAGAGGAAACCCAGAAGTCAGTTTCTGAAGTGAGTATATGTGAAAATAGCTTATGTAAAGATTAGATACGCTTAATAGAATCAAAAATACAGCATAGTAGTGCAATAATTTTGAAAAATTCAAATATATATTTAGGCACGCTTTTCTAATGAATACCAAGACCTTATGAAATCAGTGTTTCTGGCAAATACATAACATTAAAAATCTGAAATGAAGAAACAAAAATGCAAGTTTCATTTTGAGTCTCTTTTCTTTCTTAGCTGGAGAAAGCTACAGGGGTATATTCCCTTCTATCTGACATGACACATATGAGCCTTGCTTAGAGAGTTTGTCCATCATATAACTCAAGGACAGTGCATAGCAACATCTGTTATATATGCCTAGGTCTATTAAGCAATTCTATCATGCTGCAAAACAACAAATCTGCATTACGATACATGGCATCCATTTAGTATACTTCAGGAACAGGTTTTCTTAAATGTTTGCATAATAACTGTTTAATGCAGCTAAGCGTATAATTTCATTCAGATAACATAATCGTATTTTCCCCGTTTTTTTCTTTCCTTTCTTGTGATCATGGAATGACTGCAAGACAACTATTTCTGACTAACTGATTCCAATAGTATTTTTTGGAAGAATGCTTGAGGCACTTCGTTTTGGTTTATTTTGTCAATTTCTGTCAGTTATTAGTGATATATTTTCAAAATGTAGATCTAGATCTTGCCATTCCTGAGCCAAGCTCACCAGGAGAGTAGTTTAGACATACTCAGGGAGAGAAGACAACCCAGGTCCTACCTCCTCTTAAACTCTTTCAGATGGAAGCGATATTATAGAAGGCCTATATTTATGAAGATTAAAAATAAAAATGAAACTTCTCTGTGAACAATAACAGAGCTTTATGTACCCAAATTGAAGAGTTACCTTGACTTAGCTGATTAGAAAGGCAGGATACAGTTGTCTGATGCTCTTTAAAATCCAGAAACCAGTCATTTCCATGTTTAATTATATTCAGGATCTGAATTTTCTAAGCGTTTTTGGAGCATAATTAACATACGCTATAGGAAGTGACTCAAAGCTCTATAAAAGAAGATTGATCTTTTGCTTGAGCATTGTGCCAAACCTTATGTTTTTGCATTTCCAGTGAAAATTCACATGGAAGGATCCTGCTTAAGAGGCTTCTTAAATATGATCCATCCCGTTCCACAGTTTGAAGATGGAGGAGTGTGTAGCCCAGGTTGCCTGAGTTGTGGGGACCAAGAGGAAACAAGAGAGAGACTCATCAGTCATCAAATTCATATCTGAAGGTAACAGGTCTCGACATTCAGGACTCCTCCTTCACAGACAAATATCCTAATCACCTAAGCTAAGGGTGAGACTAAGCAGCAAAAGCACCACCACGACTTTAACAAAAAGGATAGTGAAGATCCCCATGTCTTTTCCTTTAGTTATGCTACTTTCCAAGCAAAAGATATGGCTTCAGGCTCTTCACAGAACTAAGCATTCTCACTCCTGGCATCAGAACATTCTTGTAGTGAAGAACAGTGTTTCACACACAACCTTGTGCTTCTGTCCTATGAACTGACTCTGGTCAGTGCTGATTGCCAGTCCAGGACACCTACCTCTCCTCCTTTTACTATTTCTGGAACACAAATGAGCATACCAGTGTTGCCGATCACACTCTCAGAGCTAGATGCCCATTTTGAAGATTCACAGTGTTAAGCATTAAAATGTCAAAATCCCCTTTTTAAATCTGACTTGGAGTTTGGCTTGTTTAAGCTAGTTAGACATGGCATTGCCTCTACATAGCCTTAAAAACTAGGCCTAGGGAAAAGTATGAGAGAAGCGCATACAGGCTAGTCATGTTTCACTTCTAACATGAAACTACAAAGAATTCAGGGTCTGTCATGTTCAAAAGAGATGGCTCCTAGCAATAGATTAATGGAAGAGAAAGATCTTACTCCTTTGTTTTTCTTCCTGGTAAATAAAGAAACAGAAAGAAGACTGCCTGCTAGATTATTATGATTAAGATGTTTGCGTGAGGGTCTTAGGAGGATTAGCTGGATACATATTGCTCCCACTAAGTGATTTACAGAGAGTCAGGGTAGTGGAGAGCTTAGGATGGTTTGGAAGAATCAGGCAAAGCTATGGACAAGCTGAGGATCTGTTGGAAGAATAAACAAAAAGACTGTGCCAAAAGAGTTAAACATCTTTGAGATTAGAAGAATCACTTTTTTTCATTCTAATGTCTGATTTCCAAGAGAAAGATTCTTGCATTCTTTCAGGGCAAAAATGAAAAAAGCTTCTGAGAAAGTCCATTTTGATGGGAGTCATTTTAGACAAAATCTCCAGAGGAAGAACAGCCAAGGAGAGACAAAGACAATTCTGGTTTGGTTCTAAATATTATTATTGACTAGAGAAAAATATTTTAGTTTGAATAGTCTCCATACTGTCTCTTTAAATAGTATCTATGAAGGGGAGACTGAAGCAATGCCCAGAGGGATGTACTTGGTCTTCCCTATCACAGAATGATTAAATGATCAGATCATGTTTTTCCTTCTGGACCAACTGGGTCCTGCATAGAAAAATAAGCAATGTGAAAAAAAAAAAAAATCTTATTACTTATGAGCTATGTTCCATCTGTGTGAGACCCAAAGCAAAGTAGTAGAATCTTTTCTACAGTTGTAATACTAACTTATTGCTTGTATTAAAGTTTTCTTAAAAAAAACTTTAACCCCACAGGATCCTTTTTCACCTAATTCTCGTAGCTATAAAATAGATCCTTTGCAAGGAAGCTGTAGTTATTCTATGTGAAGAGAATTAATCTCAAAAAGAAAGGTTTGAAGTGGCAAAAACATTAAATAGTCATTAGCATGAGCTCAAATAAGCAATCTGATGTACTTCAGGAACCTTTAAGGAACTGGTAATTTGAAAAATCATAAAAGTATCATAAAAAGAATTCTGTGATTCTGTGAAACAGATAAGTACATTTTAAAGAGATATAAAAAAAAGGTTAAGGATGTGAGGAAATGTGAACGCCTACATATAAGTGAAATCTGAAAGAAAAGAAAAATAGGCCCAGAGAGAAATGGAAAGAAAAGTTTAAGTAGTGGCATTTACAAGATATAGATGAGAAATTATGAACTTCACACTATTTGGTTTTTTAGAAAGAATGAATTCATCTGCACCCAAGGATGTAGAATGTGATTTACTGTGTGACATCAGAAAAAAGCCTTAGGAGTCTAACAACTTGCCACATATATATATATATATATATATATAAAAGTAATCCAAGTATATTACTGACTTTTAAATCTTTTAACCTACATTTTTATAATGAAAAGAATCTTAATTAACTAAGAACAGAAGGCAGAGATAAAAAGAGAATGGATTCTTCTTTTAAATATGCTGTTTTGATTGACAAGTTGTAGCTGGAAATTTCACTGTGGTCCTCTACACTGTATAAAAATACAAGTGTGGATTTATTGTTTTGTCTGGCTAAGCAGATTTTAATGAAAAGCCCGAGGTCATAAAAATTTATGAAATTTTTTCTTTTTAAGTTTCACAGGTTGCTTTGTTGAGAAATCATATTTCACCATGATGAAATTTTTATTCTGGTTCCCACAGAAGCAAGAGCTAGGAGGTATTTGATTCTCAACGTGTTAGACAAACTAAGTAGTAGTCTGACAAAATTCTCGGAGGAAGTCCCTCCTGTGCCACCTGAAGTCAGGGTTCTGTAATTTTTGTAAAATTGCTGATAAAATTAAATAAAGATAAAAATATTAAAGAAAATATTTTTCTAAGGTAGAAAGAGCATGTATTTGAAAGTAAATACACTATTTGGACTCAGCTATTCTCTCAATATACTAATTATTGGTGTCTATGAAGAAAAATTCAATTATGTTATTATTTAATGTTTCACATTTTACTGTCTTCAAATCTGACTGTTTTCCACATACTTTGATAACATTGCTAAAGTTATGGTAGCACTTTTTATTCCAGGTTTCCAAAAGACTCATACAGTTAACGAAAGTTCATAGTTTGCCCCTTAGATTTCAGAAAGGACAAGCTTTTGCCTCTTTCCTATCAATGCCTGTTTGAATTAGAAAAATGATCCAGAGGCCCCACTTCGATTTTCTTCTTCTGACAGGTGTAGGCTTCAACATAGTGATTACTCACGGCCAACATGCCTCCTTAAGGCCACCTTATCTGTCATAGTTGGTTATTTCCTGATCAGGCTTGTCTGATCACCATGTAAAATATTTTCTCCAGAGTGGTGACCTTCAATCTCACATTTTGCTTCTTTCGTCTGACAGCTGCAGTTGGCTGCATATTTATTTAGTCAAGAAATTGGTTCTAATCTGAGGTGGAAAATGCTTAGAAGACTTTACTGCCTGTTGACCTTAGATCAACTCATAATACATGTTTCTAAAGCTGGCCACTCTGATGGCATGATTAGAGATTCACGTACATATTTATCAATCAAACTATATTGATATTGTGCATAGTGGGGAGAGTGGGCAGTAAAAAGGAGTGTTCTGAAAGGACACTAAAGATTAGGAAGGCAAAGATGGGTAAGAGTGAGAAAGAAAGAGGAAAACTCAGTATACCATAGGTTTAAATAACATACCCATATGTTTCTCATAGTGATGAAGTCTTGAAATTATAGTGGGAAAAGGAGAAGCCTTCTACAAGGAAAATCTGGTGGTTTAAGGATAGTATGTCTTCTTTAACTTAGCAAACAGGAGACTTGTCTGCTCAGTCATTACCTTTAGGAGATCCATATGGAAGGATTTATACAATGGTAAAAATAGAAAACCACAGGAGTTAATGTTGATTTAAGCAACATTTTCTGCACCTGAAGAAGTAAAAGGAACAGCACAAATTTGCTGTAAATGGCAAATCATGTGGTTCACAGTAGTTGTTATGGAGTCCCCAAAAGACATATCAGGATATTGGAATGGGTCTAGCTGAAATGAATGGGAACCATCTCACTTTTACCTCACTTATCTGTTTGCTTTGGGTAGCTTCCTGTCATAAAACTGATGATCTAAACCCCAGCCAGCAATCTTGTTCTAGGCCATTATATATATGCATAAAAAATGTATTTCAATGGCAGAAATTAGCAATCACATCACAGTGCTTTTCCTTTGTTCCAAGTCTTCACAATGTATTACTGAATCATAACCTGATAGATCTGTCCTTAGTGATGTTCTTCTAGACAGATTCTGTTTGAATGTAGTAATGTCAACTCTGACAAAGAAATGCCCTTCTGACACTTTAAAACGTGTATATATGGATAACCCGAAGTAACAGTAGTTTTTCCTAAGGTGATATCTTTTGTAATTCAGGCTGAAGTTTAAAAAGCTTGTGTCCTTGCAAAGTCTTGCTGTAGTTCTGTTCTTGTGAGTAGGCTGACATTTTCAAACTCTTTCCTCTTTTTTTCTCTACATTTGACATGTCTGAAGATGTAGTAACTACCATCAGCCTGTGTGCAGCGAGCTGAGATTTTGACACTTCACAAAGACACATGCCTGAACGTAAAATGAGGCCACTGAGGAAAAGAAATAGATATATCATTTTGTTAGCCTACTTAGCTAATAACAACATTAGATAAATACTTCTTTTTCTTTTCCCAACCCTTAAAATGCATAAGAAAGCTTGAAATCAAATTCTAAATTCTTCCTTAAAGAAAGCATATCTTTTTATTTCCTTTTTGTACAGGAGATGGCATTTAGTACATTATGTCATGCAGTATGAATTACTCATCTGAAAAGTTCTGCTACAGTGCGGTTGAGTGGTCTCAGCAATAACTCATAAACACTACAGTAGTGGAAGGACAGAGGATGCTGTCTGTCCTAAAGAGTTAATAATCTAAGGATGGATAGAAGGAGAATCATTGGCTAAAACAAACATATGGAGGGGAATAAGAAATCAAGGAGATTATACTGATAAACATGAAAAACTGGGCACAGAACCACGTACAAGCTTCATGATGTCACAACTAAAAATTTTACACCTTTTTTCCACAGTCCTCTCTCTGCCTGTCATAATGAAATCCAACACAAAGTGGACATGAGCTGAAACAACAGAATTTCATAGGTCATGTACTGAAACTATTTTATAATGTGCCTCTAGATCAGGTCCTTCTATTAGCAGATGTGCACTTTTAATCAGCATAATAGACAAGCCTGTGTTCCTAGAAAGGAAAACAACAAATTCATGCATTGGCTGAGAAAGAACTGATTAAAACAATGAACATGCAAGTTATTCTCTCCTGTAGCATTAAGCGACCTAGCACACAGGA